CATGACAGTCAGAGGTCTGCCTGGGATTTCAAACACAAAAATCCCTTTCTCTAACTCCCTCCTCATCCTAACCCTCCCTCAACTCAAGTTGGAGTGGGAAGGGAACTGCCTCAATTTGCAGTGTGGCAATGGTGGGCTTTGTCCAAAGTCTCTGCAATGCTAATACCAGTTGGGAGAGGTAGGGGTGCCTTCATTATGTCAGGGCAGGTGTGGTGACAAGGCTATGTGCTCAATCTCCACAGCTGAGGCACCCAGAGAGGGTAGGGAAGCAACTTTTCATGATGTTCCCTTGGAATAGGGTAGATAAATATCAAAATGTGGTTTTTTTAAATGTTTGTTTTTTGTTCCACCCACTGGTTGGAAGGTTCTAAGATACACAGGAGGCAAAACAAAGCACAGGAATTTCACTCTGTACAGGATTTCTTTTTGTTGTAATTAGCAGGAAGAATAGCATATCATGTGTTCACTACTTCTTATCCAGAAACAAAAGCCTTTAGTTTAAGCCTACCACATTTTCAAAACATTTAATGCACATTTAACTCAGATCTATAATGCTACTTGCTTATTGGAAAACTTATGATTTTGTGTTTCCAGTGACATTTGCTCCCTTTTAAAAATGATAAGCCAACTTTTATTTAACAACTAGAGGCCCGGTGCACAAAATTCATGCACCAGAGGGGGGGGGGTGTCCCTCAGCCCAGCCTCCACCCTCTCCAATCTGGGACATCCCTCCCACAATCCAGGACTGCTGGCTCCCAACCGCTCACTTGCCTGCCTGCCTGATTGCCCCTAACGGCTTCTGCCTGCCAGCCTCATCACCCCCTAACCACTCCCCTGCCAGCCTCATCACCCCTAACCACTCCCCTGCCAACCTGATCGATGCCTAATTGCTCCTCTGCCGCCTGGTCGCTCCCAACTGCCCTCCCCTGCAGGCCTGGTTGCCCCCACCTGTCCTCCCTTGCCAGCCTGGTCACCCCTAACTGCCCTCCCCTACCAGCCTGGTTGCCCCCACCTGCCCTCCCCTGCCAGCCTGGTCCCTCCAAACTGCCCTCCCCTGCAGGGCTGGTCCCTCCAAACTGTCCTCCCCTGCTGGCCTGATCACCCACAACTGCTCTTCCCTGCCAGCCATCTTGTGTCCACATGGGGATGGTCATCTTGTGTTTTGGAGTGATGGTCAATTTGCATATTACTCTTTTATTAAATAGGAATTCAAATCTTGAGAACAATATAGAACTATCTTTTTATGTAAAAGGAAAACATAACATTCGTTTGAAGAAAAGAACTCTAACACTGAACACTTAAAGAGATTATTTAAAGCCTCTATGGAATATAGGCTTTGAACACAGGAAGGACTCAAATTTACCAGCTTTCTCTAAAGGTTCAGCTTTACTTACTTTTTTCACCCATTAGGTAAGTATAAAGGGCAAGATACTGGATCCTTTGGTTGCAAAGCCAATAGTATCTATCCTATCCCTAACCTTTTAAACATAGTCAACCCTCTCATGTGGCATACTATAAAAACCCTCTATTTCCAATGATACTTACAGCCTTGAGATATGGTCTCCTTTAGTAGCTCTGACACTTCCAAACCCAAGCCCAGCCACTCTAATCACTCCAGAGGAAGATGATTCAGACCAAAATTTAAAATAAAACAAACAAATAAACAATAACAACAACAAAAACAAACACAACTCTCCAAATAAGCAAACAAACAAAAACCCAGAAACCTCAGGTAGATCTGAAGAAGAGAAAAACCCAAAGCCACAGGGCTATTTTATTGGCAGAATGTTAACTACACTCTAACACTGATGTTAGAAGGGTACAATAAAAGCAAATGGGTTGACTATGTTTAAAAGGTTAGGGATAGGATAGATACTATTGGCTTTGCAACCAAAGGATCCAGTATCTTGCCCTTTGTACTTACCTAAAGGGTGAAAAAAGCAAGTAAAGCTGAACCTTTAGAGAAAGCTGGTAAATTTGAGTCCTTCCTGTGTTCAAAGCCTATATTCCATAGAGACTTTAAATAATCTCTTTAAGTGTTCAGTGTTAGAGTTCTTTTCTTTAAACGGATGTTATGTTTTCCTTTTACATAAAAAGATAGTTCTAGCCAAAACCGGTTTGGCTCAGTGGATAGAGCGTCGGCCTGCGGACTGAAAGGTCCCAGGTTCAATTCCGGTCAAGGGCATGTACCTTGGTTGTGGGCATATCCCCAGTAGGGGGTGTGCAGGAGGCAGCTGATCGATGTTTCTCTCTCATCGATGTTTCTAACTCTCTATCTCTCTCCCTTCCTCTCTGTAAAAAATCAATAAAATATATTAAAAAAAAAAAAAAAGATAGTTCTATATTGTTCTCAAAATGTTTTCAACCATCCAAATCATTCCTTGAAAGTAAATTATAGAGTCTTGAATTATTTGTCAGGAATATAATTAGGTACTTAAATGACTAAAGTCTCCCAAAGAGATTTTAAATATTAAAAACATTTGCTTTTATTGTACCTTTCCCCTATTATTTCCTACTTAGATACAAATTATTATCGTCTTTTAGTTTTAAAAATTTATTTATTTTTTAAATATGTTTTTATTGATTTTAGAGAGAGGAAAAGAGAGGGGCAACACTGGCCAGGGTAATGTAATCACTTTAAAATCCACATAAACAGTCCCACTATTCTGATTAAACTTTCTAATCCATTTCATTAAATTAGTGAAAAAGCATTCTTTTTAAAAGAGCTGTCCTGCTTAAAAATACACTGGGAATAAATATTCCAGTTATAGAAGGCAATCCTTAAAAATACATATTTTTAATTTGGGAGGAATGGGAGAAAAGACTCTTATTCACCTCTATCCAGAGAAGATGAAGCATGAGTGACATCTAAGATGTTAAAAATATAGTTCCTGACTTCAAAAACTTTTAGAATACACAGAAAAAATGACCATGAATACATTAAATAATTAACAAAAATAAATAATTAAAGAAAATTATTTTTCTGAAACCTTTTTTTACTAAGACTTCCATTGTCTTCTTGAATATTAAAAATCACTTTTTCTTTTTTTCTGATGGAAAAAAAGCATAAAAGATTTGTTAAATAGTAATACTTGAAATTGAAATTAAGGTTGAAGTAAAATGCTGTTTTGCTATAGCCTAAAAGATTTAAAAAAACCAACGTAGTTTTAATGCATTAACCTGACTTACAAGTGAAATTCTCCAATATAGAAAAAGAGTAATCAGCACATAAAGGATCAAATTTGCACTATAGGTGAAAGCACTTGGCCACTTAAAAACCAAGAGGGAAAAAAAAAAAACTAAAGCATTTTCTTGCTACAGTGTGGGGAGCTGAACCATGATCAAAGCATAGTTTAAATATAAATTTTGTTGGGTAAAAACTTAAAAAAATGTGGAAATGTAAGAAACTCAGAAACCATAGCTATTTCCATTTTAAATGAGGATGATAGCTCTGCTCCACCAGCTGTTTACAGTTCATTGAATGAGGTTCTAGTTGATAGGATATAATTACCTCTTCCCTACAGGAGGCAAGCGTTTCTCATTCTACAGACACCTCTGATGAATGTCCCTGGGAGTATGAGACCAAGACAGCATGCCAAGATCAGTTTGGTTTTTAATGATCTCTTTAAACACTTGATTATCTATTTTTCTCTATTTAAGTATAAGAAAATGTGCACCTTAAAATATACAGAACCCAGTCACTGGCTAGCACGCTGCTTTTAACCTTAAAAGGAAAGCAGTGATTGTACACAGAAAGTATACCATCAATAGTATTAAAAAGGATAGGCATGGTAATTTCAACACAAGTGTTGAAGAATTCTACTTACTAATATTGTATTCCACTGAACACTATTCCACCTCTAAGTTCCTGTCAGTTAATGATGCCTCCATATCCCTAGTCACTTCATCTCTTTAACTACTTCGAAGGGCCTATCGATTCTATCTTCCCAGTCTTTCTCAAATTTGCCTCTTCACTTCCAATGCAAACGGCCACATAGCTCAATAATTCTCACTTGCTGTATGGTCCTCATATCCTACATGGTCTCCTTGCTCTAGTCTCTTCCAATACTAACACAGTTAACCAAAATACTATTTCATATTAATATCACTAAAGCACTCTCATCATGTCACTCTTATGTGTAAAAACCTTTCAAAAACTTCTGGCAGATGAAGAAAAAAAAATCAAAAGTAAATCAATCCTATCCCCACAAATATGTAAGATTGGGTATGAATATTAATAACTAAAAAAGAACAATAAAAAACAAAGAGAATAAATTTAAAAGGGTCTGGAACTTGGGGTTTAACCTTGATTTTTTCTTTGCTATTTATTGTTAAAGTGATTTTTATGCAATAAATGAAATATTTCAGTAACCACTTACTACTTATATATCATAAAGCTTAACCTGCACCCAAGGACCTCTGCAATCTGGCTCCCAAATCTACCTTTTTTCCAGCTTATTTTTCATCCCTCCTTTCATATAACCCCAAACTCCAGGCAAACTAAAATATCCCGTATCTCACTGGGTTCCTATATTGCCCTTTCCCAGCTATGGATCATCACTCACATCATATGCTTCAACTAGTGTGCTCTTCTCTTCCACTCAAGTGTCTAAATCCTACCTACTTATCCTTTACAGCTTAGTTCAAATAATACCTTTTTCACAAAACTATCCCTAACATCATCTTTCTCCATTGAGGATTTCATCTATATTTCTCATATAAAATGTACACCTTTTAATTTTGCATAGTTGTATGTGCGTGTGTGTGTGCTCAGGCGTGTATAAGTAGCAGCCCCCTTTAGGGTAGAGGCCTTGTTTTAGCCATCTTTGTATTCCACTCAAGGCATCACAGAGAGTCTGAAAAAATATGTAAAATGAGTAAGGACTCTCAAAAGAGCAAGGGCTAGGATGACTAGAAATCAACAGCAACTCTCACTTTTAATTTTATTATGATTTCCCTTCTTTTTCACTCAAGTTTATTTTTTAACCTAACCTTCTTACCTGAAGATATGTTATTCTCCGCTGGACCAGTTCTGTCAAATCTTTGGCCTCTTTTTCCCGCCAATCACCTGCTCCATCTGTTTGACTGAGGTAGTATAGGTCCGTCATTATGGACCTATGAAAGAAAACAACATTGGAAGTCTTACTTTTTTGTACTTTGTCATAGGATTACACAAACATAAGAAGAGTCAAATTCTTCATAAAGATTGATGCTCACACCGATGCTAATACTCATTTTTTATTTTCTATCAAGGCTGTGAAATCAACAATTAGTCTTACTGGTAAGAAAAACCTACCTCTCCCCACCCCCAGCCAGTCAGCTGTACTTATTTTCCAGCACAGAGTACTACAGAGACTAGGGGGAAGTGGATATTTATAGCAATAAATAAATAAATAAATAAATAAATAAATAAATAAATAAATAAATAAATAAATAAATAAGGAGATTAACATAAGGGGAAGAAATTAAATTGGTGCCAGTATTTGAACACTTCCTTTGTGTTTTCTCTGTCATTTCCTGTCTTCTCTTAAATTTTATCTTTATACTTTAACACTGAGTGGCTGGAAAAAGATCAGAGAAAAATTTTGACACAGCTCTTAGTATTCTAAACCAAGCGTCAGCAAACATTTTTCTATAAAGGGCCTGGTAGTATATATTTTAGGCTTTGTGGGTTTCCATTGTTTAAAGGCAGGAGAGCTGCCATAAACAATATGTAAATGAATGTATGTACGGGTGTTCCAATAAAACTTTATTTACAAAAACAAGCTATGAACCAGATTTGGCCCCTGGGCCATAATTTGACAATGCTTGGTATAAACTAATAAAATAATTATTAAGACACTTTCCCATTTTGCTGTAGCATCAGTAATTTCAATTATAACATGGTGGATTTACTACAAAGTAAACTAAAATACCTAGTACATTAACAAGAGAAACTTTAGGGCTAGTGCAAATGGTTTTATTTATAATGCATTAAATAAAAGTCATGACTTACCTTTACCATAAAAAAAAGACTCTTCTCTTTATCTAACACTCCCCACCAATCTTTCAGCAAACATTTAATCAATTTTTAACCAAATATCACCCCTGGTTTGCTATGAGTGAGCACTGAGCCATCAACTGATCCACCATCTTTTTCTCATCTGAATTATTTCAGTAACCTTTGAATAGGTCTACACCCTGCTTCACCCTTGCCTACCTCTACAGTCTACTCTCAATAGAGCAGCCATATCCTATTAAACGGTCAGTCAGTACTCTTTTGCTCTTAATTGTTGAATAGGATCGTCATCTACCTCAGTCAAGTCCAAAGTTATTACTTTGACCTACAAGGCCCCAGACAATATGGCCCTCTCTTCCTTGTTTACTTCAGCCAATAACACTAACTTCTGAATATGCCAGGCATGTTCCTACTTCAGGGCCTTTGCATTTGCTCTTCCATCTCCTGGAATGCTCATTTCGCAGACACCCATTTACATGGCTCACACAGATGTCCTTCAAATCTTTGCTCATATGTCACATTCTCCTTAAGGCTTTCCCATACCACTCACTTAAAAATTCCAACACCCAATCATCATCACCATTTCTTGGGTTTCCTTCTTTCTTCCCTGCTTTATTTTCTTTAAGCAATTATCATCTTCTAATATACACTGTTACTTCTTTATTTTACCTTTATCCCCCTACTAAAATTTAAGCCCCATGAGAGCAGGGCTGTTTATTTAAACTGTTTTCTTTTGAATCATCATTTAGAAAAGACCCACCCACACAGAAAATGTTCAATACCAGTAAGTATCTTTGACTAGATAAGTGAATAAAAAAGTAGCAAAAGAAAAATTTCAAGAATTTTAATGTGATAATATTGATAATTTTTTTACCTTTTACAAATCCAATTTTGTGGTTGGGAAAGGTTTGGGGAGTTGTCTTTAACTAGTTACAGCTCCAGCTTCATTCATCCCTTCTCTACACTTTTCTCCACATTTCGTGTTAACTCTGCTGTTCAAGGAATGCTTATAAGGATATGTTTTTGCTTGTGAAAATTATAAAGTTAAAAATTTATTTCTATTTGTCAGAAAAGTATATATATAAATAAAGTATATCATACATATACTTCTAGAAATCACCTATAAAATGTTATTAACTAAAAAGCATAAAGCATTAGCTGGAGGTTCAAAAAATACTTAGAGAAAATAGATGTAATGTTAAATAATAAGAACAACAACAATGAACAGGTATTGAGCTCTTACTATGGGCCAGATATCTGTTTTAGGTGCTTTACATTATTTCATGTTATCTTCACAGCTGCCTTATAAATTAGATAAGGAATGTGAGGCACTAAGAGATTAAAGAATTTGCTCAAAATCATAAAGTTCAGAAACAGTGGGAATTTAAATCCAAGCAGTGTGATTCTGAAATTTAGGCTTTTAATGACTGCACTAACAAACATCAAAGTATGGGATCAGGAGTACAAAAATGTGGACTCTGTTCAATATAACTATGCAAAATCAGAAGAGAAAGAGCATTGGGAGTTGGACAGACCTATTTCCCAATTTTGGCTCTACCTCTTAACTGACTTTTGTGTCCTAGGAAAGTTATTTTGACATCTCTGAGACTAAGTTACTTCATTTAAAATAAGTATAGCAAAATGATTAATGTTAATATATACAAAGTAGTAATATATGTGGTGGCTGTTAGCTATAGCCTGAATAACTGTGTCTCCTCCAAAAATTCGTATCTTAAAAAAGGCTAATATCTAATGTGATAGTATTAAAAGGCGAGGTCTTTGGGAAGTGCTTAGGTCATGAGGTTAGAACCCTTGTGAATGGGATTAATGCTCTTATAAAAAAGACCCAACTGAACTCCTCCGCCTCTTCTACCATGTGAGGACACAATGAGAAGGCGCTGATCTGTGGATGAACCAGAAAGAGGGCCCTCACCAGCCTCCAGAATTTTCTGGCACCTAGTTTTTTGGACTTCCCAGACTCCAAACAAAACTATGAGAAATAAATTTTTGTAGTGTATAAGCTACCCAGTACTTGGTATTGTTGTTATAACAGCCTATACAGACTAAGACATTACTATTTATACTACTAGAGGCCTGGTGCACGAATTCGTGCATGGGTGGGGTCCCTTGGGGTGGGCTGTGAGGATCGGGGCCCAGCTCACACTCCCAGGCTTGTAGCCCCAGCTCACGCTCCCAGCCTCGCGGCCCACTGTGGACTGGTGTCACCCCATCACCTGCTCCACCATCCTGCCTGCGGGGCGATTGATCGGGCCAGGCCCCCTGTCTGGCTCCCTCAGTGCCTGGGAGCTGGGCGGTGGCCCCGCCCCCTGCTCACACCTGCCAGTGGTTTCTGTCTGTGGGGCAATCGGGCCCCTGCTCACACCTGCCTTAGCCTGGCGCCACCCGCTCACTTGCTCCACCATCCTACCACAGTCCAGCTCTCATCGGGGCCCATCAGGGCTGGCAGCACCTCCACTGCCGCCCACTGCCAGCACTGCGTCGCCGACGCCCACCATGTTGTATGCCTTCCCCTGGTGGTCAGTGCATGCAACAGTGAGCAGTCGAACTCCCGGTAGAACAATTCAAATATTAGGCTTTTATTATATAGTTAGGATGCCTCAGGGTTGTATGCCGCATAGCTATTATCTTGTTTCTAAAGAGTACCTACTAATAATTCTACAACTAATAATTCTACAAAAGGAAGGACCCATTGGATGTGACAGTAATATGTGGTACTGAAGGCCAGTCAGAAAAATAATCCAAAACCCACTGCCATATGCACCCCTGAAGGAGATTGATCAGCGAGGACTCATTTAGCAGATGATGAAACCAGCCCTCAACAACTGCAACTTATCTAAGCATACGTGACATAGTCCCAGTTCTCTTTTACTCCTGCTTCTTTACTAGATGGTAAACCATTTAGTAACAAAACACTCTTCACGGCACGAAAACTAAAGTCTTATTTACTATCATAGAAAACCATTAGAACTATACACAATTAAGAGAGAATACTTGATAACAGGCCCTCTGAATAAAGCAAAACTATTAATAATACACAAATAAAATTAAGAATCATAGCCACAGTTTAGAATATTTACCCAACTTACAGTAAAACAGCTTTCACAAGCTTTAGGACAACAGGGTCATGTGTTGTGAAGCCTTTTAGGCATCTGTTTAATGTGTCAATATTATCCACACACAAGATATTTCACAGCTTTACTATTTCCATGTGTACCCTTTTAAACAGGGCAACATACTTGATACTTTATCTTTTTAATATTTACTACTCTCACCTAAGATCTAAAACATTTTCTTTTTATGAAAAAGTTTTAGTTGGGGAAAATAAACAAAAACCTACAACTTACTGCTTCCTTAAGAAATTAACTTGCAGTCTTACACATATACTGAATAGAGATTCAACTTTTAAGTTTTTCCAAATTACAAAACTGAGGCTCCTATGAACTATTATGTAGCCTCCAGTTACTGGGGGAAAAGTCATCACCCACAGGAAATTGTGTGAGTTGATCATGGAAACACATAAGCAGTCTTTTTTATAAGTCTTTTTCCTACCATTCTCATCACACTCATTATTATTTATTCTCATGGATTTCATCATATCCAAATGTGGTCATTTGCATTTTCCTACCCATACAATAGAAGTGATCACAAAATGTGTTGTAAATCTCAACTTTAAATGGCAATATTGTTTCTTTCTGTAGTAGAGTGGGATAAATAACCAGTTTACCAGCATTAAACATATACATAAACAGACAAATAGCACTACATTTCATTGACAATAATAATTATATAGCCTCAAACAGGTAAAAGCTACTTTAGATCTAATTTGGAGAGAAAAATAGTTTGAAATATAAAAGTTGGCATAGTTTATGCTTTCATCCTGTAGTAGTCAATCCATTCCTTTACCATTGGGAATGAAAGCCCATCTCTGTATTTTTTAATAAATTCAAACAGTGAAAACATAAAAGTGAATGTTTTTACCAAGTTACATCACTACTAAGCCTTGGCAATTATTCATATTCATCGCAATCTGTCTATAAAGTGGAATAGCCAAGCTTATAACTAGAAAGCCAAACATCAAAAACAAACAAGCAAACAA